GATATCAGAGCAGCCTCAGTGTACTCAGGAGTGTTCACACAGATCTTTAAAGAGGAGAGAGGACTGTACCAGGACAAGGTGTTCTGCTTCATCCATCTGAGTGTTCAGGAGTTTCTGGCTGCTCTTCATGTCCATCTGACCTTCAGCAACTCTGAAGTCAATCTGCTGAATCTAGAAACACCTCACGTATTTAAAACCCTCGGAACAAAATACAAACTACATTTCTTCTACCACAGTGCTGTGAACAAAGCCTTACAGAGTCCAAATGGACACCTGGACTTGTTCCTCCGCTTCCTCCTTGGTCTTTCTCTGCAGACCAATCAGATTCTCTTACGAGGCCTGCTGACACAGACAGGAAGTAGCTCACAGACCAATCAGGAAACAGTCCAGTACATCAAGATGAAGCTCAGTGAGAATCTGTCTGCAGAGGAAAGCATCAATCTGTTCCACTGTCTGAATGAACTGAATGATTGTTCTCTAGTGGAGGAGATCCAACAGTCCCTGAGATCAGGAAGTCTCTCCACAGATAAACTGTCTCCTGCTCAGTGGTCAGCTCTGGTCTTCATCTTACTGTCATCAGAAGAAGATCTGGATGTGTTTGACCTGAAGAAATACTCTGCTTCAGAGGAGGCTTTTCTTAGGCTGCTGCCAGTGGTCAAAGCCTCCAACCAAGCTCTGTAAGTAAATATTTACTCATATTTATTTATTTATTTTTGTTATCAGCGCAATGTATTGTTCATAGTAGCATAAATTGTTAGCGTTTCTGAAACTTTTTTGAGTGTAGCCTTTATAAAAGTACTTTCCAGACCTGTTCTACAGTGGGCCTACAGCTTTTCATTAACTACTCAAAAATGAATACAAACCAGAGCTAAAACCGCCTGTTTCAAACAGAAGATAAATGTGGGGTCTCATCAAGGTTGAGAATGGGATAAGTAAGGATTATTTTTGAAGTCTATCTGGTAACAACAATCATATATATTGTAATTTGAAAATTATTTATACCTGTGGCAGAGGATACTGGTCTTTTACTAAATGTTGCATGTCTAGATATAGAGGTATAATTGTGTTGTTAAGCAAATTAAAAAATGTCATCTATATATTATTTCCAGACTTGAATTTGAAGGTGTATTTATATTAATTACGTCCACATGGAAACATTTGTTTATCCCGTAGTAGGTTGAAACAAAAGGTAATTTCATTTAATCACAAATATAATTTATTTTCAGATTGTCTGGCTCTAATCTCTCGGAGAGAAGCTGTGATGCTCTGTGCCCTTATCTCATCTCCCATACCTCTACTGTGATGGAACTGGACCTAAGTAACAATGACCTGCACGATGCAGGAGTAAAACTTCTGTCTGCTGGATTGAGTCCAGATTGTCCACTCAAAAAACTGAGGTCAGGATTCAGCCTTTTTCATTGATGTAAATTTAAAATCTGTATTATATCATGGCATAAACAAAAACCTTATTGAATTCTAAATTGAACTTTTATTTACATTTTTGTATCACCAGCCTCTGAATTACTGTTTGTTTTTTGTTTTTTCAATTTATTCTTGCATATTGGTGACTCTGTTTTTAAAAATGTGAATTTGGACACTCCAGCAATCATAGTTTATTATATTCCTGGGTCAAGATCAGGTGACACTGAAACAAATTTGAAACTGCAACAGGGGCCGCAGGTGCACATTCGCTGTCAAAATAAAAGACACTCACCAGATA